CCTTGTGCGATTATCTCGCACTTATCCAAGTACCCTGCTATGACATCTTTAATAATAACTTTTAACATTTTCCCTGTTAACCAAACCGCTCTAGGTTCCTGCTTTCTGTCTCCCTTCTTTTTTGAAGAAGTATTACATTCACCGTTTTCCAATCTAATGAAATGTTCCTGCAATCTAAGGAGTTTTGGAAAATTAAAACTAATACATCTTAAATGTCACCAGCTACTTTATTTAAGAAAGAAGGCCATCAGGACCCAGAGATTTCTCAGCCCATAGCTCCAACAATTTGCTTAGTACCACTTCCCCGGTGATGTCTGAATTTCTCCGTCTCTTTCATTTCCTGATGTACGGTTATTTCTGGGACATTACTTGTATCTTCAGTACAGGAGTATTATACACATACCTGTTAATTCATCTACCATCTTCTTATTTTCCATTATTAATTCCCCCAACTCACTTTGTATAGTACCAACAGCCACTTTGTTCACTCTTTTTTTAATATCTCACCATTTATTTTTATATTACTAGTCAACTTGCTTTCAAACTCTAATTTTTCCCTCATTATTAGCCGTTTAGCCAACCTTTGCCAGATTTTTATGTCTGTCCAATCTTAGGACATGCCACCCACAATGATGCAGCTTTTTCATTAAGTTTGATACTGTCTATAGCACTTCTAGTTTACCACTGGTCACAGGTTGAACTTTTCTTTGTTGTAGCTATATATCTATCCTCAGTACTCTGAAATACCCTCCTTAATCTCTATCCCTTCACCCAATTTGCCAGTTTACTTTAACAAGCTTTGCTCATCATTAACTTTATTTAAGTTTAAAGCACTAATGTTGGAACCAGTCTTCTCACCCTCAAACTGAATGCAAAATTCAATCATATTATGAGCAATCCTATCTAGTGCCATCTTCACTAGAAGATCATTAATTAATTTTATTTCATTGCATAATACCCCTGGTCTAGTATAATCTTGTATCTTATTGGCTCCAGAATTGCTGTTCTAAGAAAGTATCCTGAAAATATTTTATTATCTCTTCAAAACTCCCTCATGATTATTACTGTGCCTTTCCAACAAGGTACCTTTTTTTTACTAAAATAAAAACAAGGTGTAGTGGATTCTGTAGTTTTGAAATAAAAAGACAAAGTGCTGGAGAAACTCAGCAGGTGTGACAAATATATTGAACTTGAAAATATTCACTTTGTTTCTCTCACCACAGATGCTTCCAGTTCTGCTGAGTTTCTTCCGCATTTAGTTTTTTTTTAATCCAATAATTTCTTCCTTTATAACTTATTCTAGCACATGCTTACAGTTAGAGGACATGTACACCACTCCCACAAGTGAATTCTTGCCTTTCCTGTTTTTTTTATTAACTACCCAAACAGCTTCCCGGTTTCCTGCACTTAAGTGGTCTCTCTCTCTCTCTATTCTGCTAATACCATCACTAATTAACAGAACCTCTTCACCCTTTCGTACCTTCCCTTTCTTCCTAAATGTAACATACCCTTCATTATTTAGGTCCCACACTACGTCATTGTGCCATCATGTCTCTATAATCACCATCAGATTGTATTTATTTGCTTCTATTTACTCTTATCAGTTCATGTTTTGTATTGAAAATCATGTGCGTTTGGATACAGAGCATTTTTAAATCCTTTTATTATTTTTGTTACTTTATTTACTTTTTTTTGTTTCAGTATTATCTGTGTATTTGTTAATGGGGATCTCATGGCACAGTGGTAATGTCACTATACTAGTAATCCAGAACCCTGGATTCAGTAAAAATATGGAATTAGAAGCTAGCCTAATGGTAATCTTGTAATCATTGTCGACTGTCATAAAAATAAATCCATCAGCTTCACTACTGTCGTCCAGGAAGGGGAATCTGTGTTCAGTACCTGGTCTGGTCTAAATGGCGTCAGATAGCATGGAAACAGGCCCTTTGATCCAACCAGTCCATGCCGAACATAATCCCAAACTAAACTAGTCCCACCTGCCTGGTCCTGGCCCACATCCCTCCAAACCTTTCCTCTTCATGTACTTCCCTCCTCTCATCTTAAAAATGTATCTCCTACTCTTGAAATCCTCCATCCTAGGAAAAAAAACTTACCACTAACCCTATCTAAACCACTATATAAACCTCTATAAGGTCACTTCTCAGCCTCCTATGCTCCAGTAAAAAAAGTCCCAGCCTATCCAGCCTTTCTTTATAACTCAAACATTCCATACCCTGCAAAATCTGGTAAATCTCTTCTCAATCCTCTCAAGCTTAATATTCTTCCTATAACTTGTAACTCCAGATCCACAGATATGTAATTGACTCGTAACTATTCCCTGAAATGGTAGTGAGTCACTTGGTTCCAGGGGCAATAAGAGATTAGAAATAACTGCTAGCCCAGCCAATGACTCCCACATGCCATGAACAAAAAAAAACTTAGATTTGTACTCAGTATCCCTTCTTGAAACGTCTATTTATCATTTCCTATATTAACACCTTTCTCTCTTGCCTCATCTTTACCCTTTGATTTTCATTGACTGAGATAATGGATACCATTAGAACATAAGAAATAGGAGCAAGAGTAGGCCACAATTCAATAGAATCATCATTGATCCGACACTCCTCAGGTCCACTTTCCTGCTTGTTCCCCATAAACCTTGATTCCGCTACTGATCGAGAATTTCTTTCAGCCTTAAATATACCAATTATAATTTTCTAACATTTTCCACATTCTAGATGGTCCCAACAGATTGAAAGTTAGCAAATATGTCTCTGTTATTCAAGACAGGAGGTGGAGGGAGAAAACAGTGACATAATGGCAAGTTAGCCTTAAACCATAGTATGAGCAGACAAAGTCAACTTACTAAAGATGAATCATGCTTGACAAATTTATTAGAGATTTTTCTAAAATTTAACTAGTAGGGTAGATATGGGGGTGAACAGTGGATATATTATACATGTATTTCTAAAATGCTACTAAAAGTTATTTTCAATTAGTCAAAAGCCGAAACAACTATTCCCTAGTATATTCTTCATTGCAATGTCTTACCAAAGTCCACTTTCCAGACAAGCTGCTTCCTTTCATCATACAATGTAAATTGGCACTCCCTTTAGATTTAGATTTTATGTCTGTCCTAATGAGCACAAGATGAAAAGATTTAACAGCATGTCCATTTTTTTTTCAGCAATACTCAGGTTCTGTCGTAACAAGTAAAAACTTGCAAGTGTTAATGTTCAGATGGACTTGAGTGTACTCATAGACATGGAGAAGTTGATTTCCTGAGGTGGGTGAAATCTAGAACAAAGACTGTCCAGAGTCTGAGGCGAAGGGCTGATTATTGGGGACTGAGATGAAGAGAAATCTCTTCACTCAGAGTGTAGTTTGTTTGTTTGTGGAACTTAAAGTTAACATTCAGCTACAGTAAGCATCTAGGAAGGCAAATGACATTTTGATTTTATTGCAAGAGGACTGGAGTATAAGTATAAAGAAGTTTTTCTAAAACTATACAGGGTTTTGAAAGATCACACTTGGAAAAATTGTGCAGAGCTTTGGTCTCCATACTTAAGGAACAATAAACTTGCATCAGAGATAATGCTGTGAAGGTTTACTAGCTCAGTTCACTGAGGTGAAGCAATGTCCTAGGATGAGAACCTGAGTAAATCGAGCCTCACTCTGTAGAATTTAGAAGATTTTGTTAGGATATAAAATAGCACAAATACAAGAGGTTGTTTACTCTGTCTGCAAGATCTGAAACAAGATCTCAGGATAAAGGGTCCATCATTTATGACTAAGATTTGGAAACTGCATTCAATCAAAGGGTCATGAGTCTTTTCTATTCTAAAGGGTTGTATATTCATTATTTTAAAGGATATATTTAAGGATGAGACAGATGTTTGGATTCTCAGGTAATCAACAGATATGAAGAGCAGTCAGGAAACTGAAGTGAAGGATGATGATGAGCCATGATCGTATTGAATGGTGAAGCTGACTCAGGGCCATATAGTCTAGTCTTGCTCCTATTTATGTTCTAAATCATTTTCCAGGTGGTGTAGAACGAAATTGCACAGGAGCAGTAACTGCAATTTATTGGTCAGTGCAATGAGTATAGGAGTTGGGAGGTCGTGTTGCGGCTGAACGTGACATTTGTTAGGCCACTTTTGGAATACTTCGTTCAATTCTGGTCTCCCTGCTATAGGAAGGATGTTGTGAAAATTGAAAGGGATCAGAAAAGATTACGAGGAAGTTGCCAGGGTCAGAGGATTTGAGCTACAGGGAGAGGCTGAAAAGGCTGGGGCTACTTTTCCTTGAGGGTTAAGGGGTGACCTTACAGAAGTTTATAAAATCATGAGGGGTACGGATATGGTGAATGATCAAGGTCATTTCTCCAGGGTAGGGGAGTCCAAAACAAGAGGGCATAGGGTTTAAGGTGAGAGGGAAAAGATTTAAAACGGACCTAAGGGGCAACTTTTTTCACACAGAGGGTGGTGTGTGTATGGATTGAGCTACCAGAGGAAGTGGTGGAGGCTTGTACAATTACAACATTTAAAAGGCAGCCGGATGGGTATATGAATAGGAAGGGTTTACAGGGATATGGGCCAAATGCTGGCAAATGGGACTAGATTAATTTAGAATATCCAATCGGCATGAATGAGATAGACCGAAGGGTCGGTTTCCATGCTGTACAGCTCTATGGCTCTAAAACAACGTCCAGGTAGTCAGAGGAAATGGTCTCAAAGTCACTTGCTACGAGATTTTGATTGTGCTGATGTTTTTGGGCAACAGCAAGCCAAGGAACATGATCACAAGTAGGAAGCCAATGAGGGAATGGAGCCTTTAACTGTGACATTCATGCATACGTACTAACAATATCAACTCATCGTAACTTATGGAAATTTCAGATGTTCAGGAATACCACACAGTCTAGGGAGACCCAAGTTGAGTACATTAAAGGATAAGCATTAAAAGGATATTTTAAGTTGTCTGAATGTAGAACTCACAATATATAAGATTCTGTATTTATTGAATCGACTTCTGTGGTATGAAGATCGTTTAAGGGCAAATGGCTGATTTGTTTCGGTTGAATTCTCTATCCCAGTGAAATCTTCTTGATTTGATCCAGTTGTTTTCTTTTCTGTACTGATGTATTTCTGAATAGCTCCAGTTGAATTGGTGGGCTGCAAGAAATTACAGAAGGCCATTAATAAACTGCAGGAGGGCAAAAAATTATTATGACAATGGGTTGGAACACCAAAACATGATGGGCATTTTTAGCCATTAAATTCAAAATGTGTTTTTTAAAAGACAGACGATACAGCCAGAAATACCTGGCAAATGTAAATTAAGTGATTGTCTATAGAACGAGACTGATGAAATGTACCTAAAGTGTCAACAAACTTCAAACAAACTGGACTGTGATCCCCAGTGACAAAGATAAAGGGGAGTTGACAAACCCCTGCTCAACATCAAGTTACCTTCATGTGGATTATGCCCTGAAGCGCAGACACATTGTGCACTCTTACAAAGGAAAACAGAAAAAGGCAGAGGTTAAAACACTAGTTTCACTAGGCTAGTGGAACTGAATGCTGTTGTGTATTCCATACTGAGTTTGAATGCTGGCCTGCTAGTGAGGTCAAATAACTCTCCCTTAGTTATCAATGTGCTGCAGGTAAATAAAGACCCTATCTCACACAAAGTACTGCAAGTGACTTAAAAAAAGAATCAGAACCAAAGAGCCTACAAAGCCAAGAAGCTCACAAAAATTGTTCAACTGCCTGATGTTTGTAACTTGAAAGGGATCAGAAAATATTTACGAGGATGTTGCCAGGTTGGAGGATTTGAGCTATAGGAAGAGGCTGAATAGGCTTGAGCTATTTTCCCTGGAGCATCAGAGGCTCCGGAGTGACCTTATAGAGGTTTATAAAATCATGAGGGGCACGGATAGGGTCAATAGACAAGGTCTTTTCCCAGGGTAGGGGAGTCCATAACTATAGGGCATAGGTTTAAGGTAAGAGGGGAAAGATTTAAAAGGGACCTAAGGGGCAACCTTTTCATGCAGAGGGCGGTGCATGTATTGAATGAGCTGCCAAAGGAGGTGGTGGAGGCTGGTACAATAACAACATTTAAAAGACATCTGGTTGGGTATATGAATAGGAAGGGTTTAGAGGGATATGGGCCAAATGCTGGTAAATGGGACTAGATTAAATAGAGAATATCTGGTCAGTATAGGCGAGTTGGACTGAAGGGTTTGTTTCCGTACTGTACATCTCTATGTCTCTGTGATTCTATGCCACTGCCAAAGGTACTGGAACAACTCAATAACAACGATAACATCATCTTATCTGCTCTTCAGAAATTGATTCACGTAAGTATTTTATAACTTTTTTCACTTTTTGGTCACTTATGATCAGTAAGTGCCTTGTCATGTTCAATATCAAAGAAAGTAATAAAGTAATTTTTCTCATGATTTGTAATGAATAAACTTACATTTTGTTAACTCTTTAAATGTTGTGTCTGAGTTTAGCAAGGCCAAATGAAAACAAACTAAGCACTGAGCTTTATTTCTAGAATGCTAGAATTGGTAAGAAAGGAAGTTAGGTTAAACCTGTATGAAACCTAGATTAGTTCACAATGAAGTGTTCTGCATGCAGTTCTCATTACCATCATTTAAAAGAATAAAGTAGCACAGGAGTGATGCAGAGAAGATTTACCAGGATGGTATCAGAAATGCATTTGTGGGATAGGATTGACAGGATAGATCTCTTTCCCCTTCAAAGAAACAGACTGAGGGGTAATTTAATGGAGGTATTCAAAATTATGGAAGACTTTGATACAGTGGATAAAGACAGAATGTTTCCACTTATAAAGAAGGACATAACTACCGGCCATCAATATAAAATAGTCACCAAGGAACCAAATCAAGAATTCAAAAGAAACCTCTTTCCAAAGAAAACTAAAAATATGCACCAGTTACCAGAAGGAGTGGTTGAGTCAAACAGTATAGATAGATGCTATAGTATACTTGCATTTAAGGGGATTTCAGACAACCATTTATTTGAGAGACTCAGGAATATACATTATGAACAGAGGAAATTCAATGGTGCATAAATATAACCTTGACTGCTTGAAACAAATAGCTTGTTTCCGTGTTGTAAATCCAATGTAACCCAATTAGTTTTGTATCTTACTTAAGCATTCCCAAAAGACATTTCTGATTAAATTTGTTTGAAATAATCCAAAGGATCTATCTGCCTCAACTCCAGTTGCTTTGTTTATTTCAGGAAGAGAAAGGTAATTTTAGTCCTGGTGATTTCAAAAATGCTTTACTATCTGGGAAAATTCATGGTTAAGTGTATACTGCTCTGTGTGCACTTATAATTATTTCTGAATGTCATTTGGGAACTCACATCTGAGATTATTACATGTTCTATTCCTTGTTCTGGTCTTGACATGAAAAATAGATGGTTTTGACAAAGAAGTTCCAGTAGTTCAGAAAAATGTGGATATGTTCAGAGGACTAAGAAAATAGCTTCTTCAAACAAGATTTTGAAGTTGAAGTTTAAACAGGCATTGTCAATTGTTAAAGTGCATCCTTTGTGAATATGATGCAAATATGGTACAATGAGATTCATGTAAATCATGGTAATGAGCTGGATCTTACCGTTTCTTTTGCTACTTGCAAGTTGCATTGGGTTTATTTGAGGATTTTAAATCGTGAGGTCGAGCGAGCCCTCTTGCCATAAGTTACCAAACGCACCTACCCACCACTATGGCATCCCCAGTCTAATTTTCGCTCCACTTTACCATGTACTTGTCCCAAAACACCTCGCCGCTTACTGGATATCCCGAAATTGGCCAATATCTCTGGCACTAACACCACCTTTAGAAACCGTTTATACATCTGGTCAAGCCTCATCAGTCCAGAAGAGCCCTGCCCTGCTCCTGACGAACTCACTGAACATGCCAAGCAACGGGAAATTAGTCCAGAGATAGTAGGAACTGCAGATGCTGGAGAATCCAAGACAACAAGGTGCAGAGCTGGAGGAACACAGCAGGCCAAGCAGCATCATAGGAGCAAAAGGGCTGACGTTTCGGGCCTAGACCCTTCATCAGAAATGGGGGAGGGGAAGGGGGTTCTGAAAGAAATAGGGAGAGAGGGGGAGGCGGAAAGAAGATGGATAGAGGAGAAGATAGGTGGAGAGGAAACAGACAGGTCGAAGGGGCGGGGATGAAGCCAGTAAAGGTGAGTGTAGGTGGGGAGTTAGGGAGGGGATAGGTCAGTCCAGGGAGGACGGACAGGTCAAGGGGGAAATTAGCCCCCCGTCTTTGTGGGCAGGGGCCTGGAATTCCTACTGGATGGGGTGATGCACAACCGGGACGTCTTTTTCCCTCAGGACACGGAAGCCATGACACTCGGCCAAACCCTTGCCAACTGTGTCAGTGCAGTCTAAGCCGTTTGGAAGAATGCACAGCAGTATAGTAAGAAGATCAAGGACCTTCTCCGCCCTGCGAGCATAAATGCCACTGTCTTCTCTCCAATACCTCACACTCATTATTTCTGCTGCTGTAATATCCCCCACCAAGGCATATACTCTACCACGCTCACTGCAAAATCTTCCCCCATCTTGCCTGCATATCCACTCATTCACGTTCTCACCCACCCACCCCAACCCCTGACATTACTAACTCTGTGTCGCTCAGTGCTGCCTACATATTCCCTCAAGACGCCTCTCTGCCTGCACCAAAACTAACAGTTGTGCCACCTACATTTGTCTCTCTAATACCTGTCTCTCTCTCTCTCTCTCTCTCTCATTCCAGGAAGAAAACAGCCCACAGTAGAGCAGAAAGAATGATGACAGGCGATAGGCTGCTCGACATTCCAGCTCATCTCCATGGAGACCATCCTGACTCTTACTGTGCCAAGATCCTAGACTGATATTAGAGACTGCACTTGATTTAGTATGCCTGGGCCCCTTGACTGAAGGCTGTCCCTCAACTTGAATGGGGAGTGCTGACAACCATGACATGCTTCCTGGCTTTGTGTCTGGTCTAACGGCAATGCAAAATTGAAACAATGTAAGCCTGGTGAGTCTAACTGAGGGGGCAAAGTGCAAAAGGGCAGGGCAAGGCAGGGATCCTCACTGCGAGTGAGCACTATGCCAGCAAACAAATGGACCAGAGATGCAGCCTCGTCCATTCCACAAGCTGAACGTGTGTCGCTGAGGCAACTCTGGAAGTTGTTGTCATGCACAGGCCTCAGAAACCCTCACAGCCAGTCGCAAAATTGGAGGGAAATTCCAGGTTGAGAAGATCTGCAAGCTGTTCATAGCATTATTGGAATTAAAAAAAAAACACCCTATTCTTACATAGATTTATGTTTAGGCCTATGAAACAGACCATGAGACAAAGGAGCAGAAGTAAGCTATGCGGCCCATCAATTCTGCTCCGCCTTTCAATTTGATTTTGGCTGGTCTGATAATTCACAACTTCACTTTCCTACCTTATCCCCAAAACTATCAATTCCCTCACTGATTAAATATTTGTTTATTTGAGCCTTGAGTACATTTAATGACACAATCTCTACAGCTCCCTGCGGTAAAGAATTCCACAAATTCACAATCGTCTGATTCTAGATTCACCCACAAAGGGAAACAATCCCTCAGCATCTACTTTGCCACGAGCTCTAGGAATCTTGTGTGTTTCAAGAAAGTTACCTTTCATTCTTCTAAACTCCAATAAGTGCAAGCCCAATCTACTCAACCTCTTCTCAAAATAAAATCCTTCCATACCCAGGAACAACCTAGTGAATCTTCTCTGGGCTGCCTGCAATACCAGTATATCTTTCCTTGGGATGAAAAATGTTCACTGAAGGAGTAAGTAAAGAGGTTAACTTACTGAAGGAGTAAGTAAAGAGATTAACAACACAACAAATTCCACAACAACTCTGATAAGGAAGTGGACCTTTAGACCGAACTTTACACAATCAGGATGAAACATCCGCTGAAACAACAAATCCTGTGTGAAAAAACAATAGCAGCACTAATCATCACCTGCTTTGCAAGACACCTGGAACAGATTAAAGAACTGTGTACATGACTTGAGGGGGAGGTTGGCGCGTGACAGAAAATGTATATAACCTTTGAAATCGTCTGTAATAGCCAAGAAGTTTTGGTGAGGC